GAAGGCCTCCTGGGCCACTATGGAGGCTCGGTTTTGAGCCTGGATGACTCCGGAGGCCCCGTTTTGGGCCTAGAAGGCCTCCTGGGCCACTATGGAGGCTCGGTTTTGAGCCTGGATGACTCCGGAGGCCCCGTTTTGGGCCTAGAAGGCCTCCTGGGCCATTCTGGCGGCCTCGTTTTGAGCCTGGATGACTCCGGAGACCCCGTTTTGGGCTTGGATGGCCTCCTGGAGCACTCAGGAGTCCAAAAGCTGTTATGGGTGTGTGCATGCATCCTGCCCTCAGTCCTTTTTTTGCTAGCAGAGGCAAAGCGGGTCGGTCCTTTACAATTTCCAGACCAGCCCTGTGGGCCAGATCTAAGCAGTAAGCACTCAACTAAGCCTTGAGTTTGACACCCCTGATCTAAAAAGATTCACCGTATCAGTAAGATGGGTGGCATTATAAACAAACCAACCAACAAACTTCTACTTTGATGCAATTGTCCTATCTTATATGCAGATGTACAAATGGATATTATGGCAATCCTTTATTGCCAGGAAAACCTTGTATTCCTTGTGACTGCAATGGCAATGTAAACCCATTGGAAGATGGCCACTGTCATTCAGTTACAGGGGAGTGTTTGAAATGCATTGGAAATACTGTGGGACGTCACTGTGAAAGGTGTGCTGATGGCTATTATGGGGATGCAGTGACCAACAAACATTGTTATGGTGAGTTCCTCATGATCAATTAAATATAAAGTATTTTTTAGTTGACTACAGCCATGTTGACCAGATTGACCCCCTGATACTAAACACTTTCACTGGGGGCATCATACATTATTTTGAACTGATGAACTTTTCATAGACTTTGCCAAAGCATTTTGTTTTACAACAAGGAAATTTCTTACAATTGTTGATCTTAAGATTACAGTGAAGAATACGTATTTCTAATTTTAAAATGTGTGGCGGTTTTCAATACAGTACTTATTTTCAGTTTCTTATCAATAATGACCAATCAACAATGTATGTCCTTTTTCTGCATTTGAGCTCTCCCCACCCCAAGGTTGTGAGGCATCATAAACACATTTTACTGTGTTTTTTGGAGTATAAGACGCACCAAGATTTTGAAGAGGCAAATTTTAAAAAAAGTTTTTGCACTCTGCAGACTTCCCAAAAAGGCCCGTTTTTCACAAAAATGGGCCCATTTTTTGTCAAAAAAAAAAAGGGCATGCATAGCCTTTAGGAGGCTTATAGAGTGCTCCTGGGGGCTGGGGGGGGAAGGGCAAAATATGACACATTTTTCACTCATTTTTGCCTCCCCAGTCCCCAGGAGCACTCTAGAAGCCTCCTAAAGGCTATGCAGGGCCATTTTTGCAAAGGGGGTGGGGTTTCAGGAGGCCAAAAATGCTGTATTCAGTTTATAAGATGCACCCAGATTTTCACCCTCTTTTTTGAGGGAAAAAGGTTCATCTTATAGTCCAAAAAATATGGTACCCATTAATAAAACCAGAGAACTCTCCTTCGAGTAGAAATACAGTTGGAGTTCCTTGGATTGCAACATTAATTTCTTTTTCCAAAGATATAAATTTAAATCAATAATGCCCAGACTATAGAAAAAAAAGAAATTGAATTCTGCATTTTATTTGGAGGGGAAAAGTATATTATAGTTACTATTATGTATTTTGTCACAATAATAATCATCTTTTCTCTTTGTTTTCTAAGCTTGTGAATGTGACATAAATGGCTCGGTTTCCAACATCTGTCATCATGAAACTGGTCTCTGCCAATGCAAAGCCAATGTAGTCGGAAAGAGATGTGATAAATGCTTGGTAAAAAATCCCAGCAATTACGTTACTAACACATTATGTTTTTACAAATTGTTTGTACAAAAGATCTAACAATGTACATATATACACATATATTTAAACTTCAGCATAATGGTGAAACGATCTAGATGTAATTCATAGTTACTGAAAGGTAAAATCAAATTAATTTGATACACCAAAAAGGGATTTTATTCTTTTTTGCTTGAAGTCATACTGCCCATCGAGAGATCATAACAGACTGGCCTAATTTTAGTTCCAGATATCTTGGAGAATAGAGCCTTCTCATCACCCTACATAATTTACATTTGTCTTTTTTTTTTCTTTATTCCAAATACAGCTGGCATCTGCAAGGCAGGAATGCTGGGAAGTGACAAAAACATATTTCCCAGCCTCCAAGGAATTCTGAGACCAGTTTTATAAATAAAGTTGATTGAAAAAAAAGTAACATTTAAAATGATAGTCATATTGTCTGTGTGAATGCAGCAAGACTGTTGGCTAGAGATAAAGCTTCAGATAATCGAAATATCGCTTTATCATTAAACTTTAGGTTTTTTTCATATTAATTTATAATTAAGAAATGAAAAAGAGCAAAATAGAAACAGATGTCCTTCTCACCTCCAGAAAGGCATACTTGAATTGGTGTAATCAAAATCTTTATTATCATAGTGTCCTATCCTCTTGTCACATTTTAGAATTGACCATGCATTAAAAATATAAAGGCTAAAATTACACAGCCAGAGGATCTGGCATTAATTAGGAATTAAATAAGCTTTTTCTCTCACCAATCTTAAATACACCTTTCAAAGTAGTTTGATGTTTCAACACTTCTAGCTATCAAAATATTAAAAACCTAACACGTTTAGGAGCTGTTTATATGCTGGTAAAAGATTGTACTTTCCCCTGAAATATTAAATTTGACAATATTTAATTGGTTTTGGCTAATCAACCTGATCTTAATGTATTTCTACATTTTGACATATATTGGTAGATGGTTGACTGTTCAAATGTTTCATTATTATTTTTTTAGAAGAATCCCAGGGCATTACTTTTAGAAGTACCCAAATGCTTTTTTATTTTAAATTTTTCCGTGCTGTAAAAAGTAGAGAGGAAAAACACTCCTTTCTAATGTGCTTCCAAGCAAGAGTCTATAGAAAATGTGGTATTAGAAGAGGAGGAAGATGATTTAAAATGTACCCAAATACTTTTCTTTTCTTTCTTACAGTTTGGTTATTATGGCCTCAGTACTACAGCTAGTTGCCTTCCCTGCCATTGCAGTAAAATTGGCTCAGCTGAAGAAGATTGTAATGAAGGAGGACAGTGTCGCTGTGCACTAGGAGTGGCTGGAGACAAGTGTCATAATTGTGCTCCAGGGTTTTATGCATTTCAGGAGGGTGGTTGCAAACGTAAGTTTTAGCTCATTAGCAGAGCTTGCAATAACTGAAATTGTTCTAAAAGTGAAAACAGCTCATTGCCCAGGAGCTGCAAACAAGGCTATCAAAGTAATATAAAATGCCTCTTTGAAGATATTCATGTTGTCACTTTAACATGAAGAATTGTGCTATCTAACCTGTTTTTAGATCTTGTGATAGCTATAATACAGTTATTTTATATTTATTTGATTTTTATCCTTCCTTTATTACTCTTCAAGTAACTCAAAGCAGTGAACATACTTAACGCTCTTTCCTCCTCCTAGTTTCCTCAAGACAATGACTTTGTGAGGTGGTTTGGCCTGAGAAAGAGTGAGTGGCCCAAAGCCACCCAGCTGGTTTTCATGTCCAAGGCGAGACTAGAACTCATAGTCTCCTGGTTTCTAGGCCAGCACCAAACTATACCAAACTGAGTTTCTCTGCCTCTCTCTTTTCTCTTTCATATTAGGAAGCCGGTCCATTTTAATAGTGAATACAGATGGAAAATATTAGTTAATAAAGAAAAAAACACATCACATTTACTTGCAAAACACTTATTTGATACAGGGACAATAGTGGATGGAAGAAATTTCTTTTTAATAAAAATTGAAAAATAAATGTTAGGATTTCACAAGGCATTGATTTTCAGAATTCTTAAATCCTAGATAAAAAAAGAACTAATAATTCTTCTAGTTTACTTGTTTCTGTCCTGCCCTAATTGCAGCTTGTGATTGTGCTCATACTCACAATACTTGTGATAAAGATTCGGGACAATGCATTTGTCCTCCTCATACAACTGGAGAAAAATGTGAACTCTGTGAAGAAAATTTCTGGGGTCATGATACAGAAAAGGGATGCAAGGTAATATGCTTGTTGTAATATGTTAAAAAAGGAAATCAAGAATTTTTGAAAAGTTGAATGAAATTTAATAAATTATTTTATATAAAAATATACATATTATGTTTCTTTCCACCATGTGTTATTTTAGAGAAGTTTCCTCTTTTTTCAAATGCATCTAAATGGATAGTTAGATGATGGATGGATGGATGGATGGATGGATGGATGGATGGATGGATGGATGACCAGGTTAAACTAAGATAAAATCTATCATACAAACCACAAAATACTTGAGTATAAGTAAAATAATGCAGCACAAAGGCTTCACCTAAAATTAATTCTTAAGGTTAAGAAAAAATATTAAAATTATAAATGAATTCTAAAAATAGAAAATCAATCTACAGTGCATTAAATTCAGGATATAGAAAAAATGTTTTACAAAATCTTATAATCTAAAATATTAATATGTTGAAGGTGATCATTTATACATGATCAAAGATTGTTGTAGCAAATACAAAGATATGACTCTTGTAGATCAATTGGGCAAATTCATATCTGCTACAAAATGTTGCTACATTATGTGTAATAAGGCTTTTTTTGCCTGATGAAAGAAAATTAATGTAAGATTTCTCAGAAGGACTGGACCTGAGAATCCCTTTTCTACTGTAGTACAAATGGTCAATTCACAATTTTATTTTTGCTAATCTAACATTTATACAATGCAAATGTAAATATCTCAATTACTGAAGTTCTAAATTATTCTCTAATATGCTAGTTGAACTGTAAGAAATCTTGCTATCACAATCTTTTACACTACCTATAAAAAGATTGTATAGAAAAATTTGATTTCTAGTTCATTTTTTCACATTGTATAGTATATTATCTTTTTGTAATACACTATAGCTTCTCATTTAAAACCAGCATTGAAAATATTGTATAAGCAAGCAATTTATCTAGCAATTTTAACCATATTACAATTTCAATCATTTAATAGATAATGTAGAGCAACAACAATCCTTTGATGTTTCCTGAAACTTTCTGAATTTGCCCAATTCCATCCTAGATTTACAATTTTAAAACCTAGGGAAGTTACCTCAAGAAACTGTATTTTTCCTCTTCCTATTTCAATTGACTGATTTCATTACAGTCAACTGTATTGCACCTTAAAATCACTACTACAAAGGTATATTTGTAAATTAATTTGAGCCAACTTTTAAAATGAGTTCTAATAATATTTTTAGAGAATGTTTCTCTTATAGCAAAACAAACAAAGGGTCTTGTCAAAGAACACAATACTGATGAGTTTTTAATGACTGCCAAAAGTAATTTGTAAACATGGCTTTTTCAAATTACAGGATTCTATTCTTTCTTTTTCAGGCTTGCAATTGTAGTCATTTAGGTTCTCTCAGTCTCCAGTGTGACCAGTTGACTTCTCAGTGCCAATGTAAGCAAGGTTATGGAGGAGACAGGTGTTCCCTGTGTGCTTTAGGTTACAGGGACTATCCTGATTGTATCCCTTGTGACTGTGATATCCGTGGGAGTAAAGCAGAGATGTGCAATCAAGGAATCTGCAGCTGTGAAGAGGAAACGGGTGTGTGTGTTTGCAAGGTATAGCATAATAAGATAAAGTATTGGCCTATTAGGATTTTCGTAATAGCAATAGCAACTTAGACTTATGTACCACGTTACAGTGCTTTACAGCCCTCTCTAAGTGGTTTACAGAGTCAGCCTCTTGCCCCCAACAATCTGGGTCCTCATTTTACCGACCTCGGAAAGATGGAAGGCTGAGTCAACCTTCAGCTGGTGAGAATTGAACTGCCGAAGAGTAGGCAGTCAGCAGTCAGCAGACATAGCCTGCAGTCACTGCACCATCATGACCCTTAATGTTTCTAATCATGGTTGTATACTGTACAAAAGAGAGAAAGATAAAGTCTAAAGAAACTTTCGGTAATCTTTTGAAGCAGGAGGAATTGGGAAGCATTGTAAAGGTACTTCTGCAAAAAACCCAAAATTCCCTATTCACTTTGCCATTACATCAAAAAGGGAATTTAAAAAATGAAAAACGTACCCCAAACAACCTCATGCCACAATTCTGGTGAAAGAGAAGAGGAAACCAATGGAACTGTTGTCAGTTTTACCCAAAGTATTTCTCTTAAGAGACCTGCTAAAGAATTAAGGGAATATAAAATTGAAGACATGGACATTCTAAATCTCTTTCAAGACTCAGCTTTGCAGGTTAAAAAGTTTTTGTCCAGTTTAGATACACCTGAACTGAGCCATAAATATATTTAATATGATCACAGAAGTTTGGCATTCTTTTAAAGTGGGGCAGAGTCCTCATGGAAAAGTGAGTTGGCTAGAACTAATATATAGGGAATAATTGCAAGCTCCTATCAGTATCTTATAGAATTATTTATTTATTTATTTGTTAAACACATTTATATGCCACCCAATCCCGAAGGACTCTGGGCGGCTTACAAAAATAAAGAGAAAAACACATAACGAAACACATAACGAAAGAAACAGTTTAAAAACAGCAACACCTCGTACATTCATGATAATCGGGGCTGGACCTCAAAAGTGAGGTCAACAGTCCCAGGCCTGCCGGAACAGCCAAGTTTTTACAGCTTTCCTGAAGGCATACATACTATATGCCTATTGTCCACATACTATTAAGGCCACAAAAAATATTAAAATCATTATTGTCTGATGCTGATCATGATCTTGTTTCAGGAAAATGTGTTTGGATTGCACTGCAATGAATGCAAAAGCGGGACCTTTGCTCTACATGCTGTAAATCCTTTGGGATGCACCCCTTGCTTCTGTTCTGGCATGACAGAACTCTGTGCAGAAGTAGAAGGTTATGTGCGAGTTCCGGTTAGTAAAGTGTACTAGTTGTCTTTTCTTGCTATTCTAATTTCTTCCTCACGTGATCACACGTCTTCTTGTAAACCATTTGGATTGCAGCTTGGGTGGGAATACACCAGAATCAGAGGTGGAATTCAGCAGGTTCTGACCAGTTCTGGAGAACCGGTAGTGGAAATTTTGATTAGTTTGGAGAAACAGTAAATACCACCTCTGACTAGCCCAGCACCCATCTATTCTCTGCCTCCCGAGTTCCAGTTGATCAAGAGGGAATGGAAATTTTACAGTATCCTTCCCCTGCCATGCCCATCAAGCCATGCCCACAGAACTGGTAGTAAAAAAATTTGAATCCTACCACTGACTAGAATGTTTGGAAGAGTATTAATGTTTCCTAATATTATGTTTAGAATTTTGCCGCTATCAAGAATTTAATTATTTTATTCTATTTTAGAATTTGATTTAGACATATCCAACTCCTAATTAGTTTATTTTGCTACTTTTAAGTTTCTTAAAATTTGTTGCAAGCTGTCCTGGTTGATTGAAAGTTCAATACAAATCTTAAATAACTCAACTGCACTTATTTATATGCATTTCATTTGCAGGCAAGTTTATACTGTGTTGAATTGTCTTTACTGTAGGATTCTCTATGCATCTTTAAACCCAACCAGTGCTTTTTGTCTAAGGAATGCAGTTTATCTAAGTTTTGTTTCTTTTTGCTTTCTTTTCCTGCATCCTTAGCTTCAGTTGGTTTATATAACTATAGCTAGAAGGAGAAAAATATCAATATGCATTGAACAGAGAAGCACTTTTATTCTAATACAAAATGTAAGATGCATTAATAAAATTGCTCCCAAATTTCAAAGGATGGGTGATTTGTTAGTTGTTTTCAGGAAGCTAAGCATGTGAAACCTTTCTTAGTCTGACCCCATATGTAGTTCATTTTAAATGGATAACTGGTTGGCTTGGTATTGCAGGTAACACTGACTCCAGAACAGGAACTATTACACGTGGTTTCTCTTAGTAACTTTACTGGAACAAGTGAAGGTGTATTTTTTCAATTTCCAGACATAGTAATGGATGCGGCAACAGTCCGCCAATACTTGAATGCAGAACCCTTTTACTGGAAATTACCAGATCAGTTCCAGGGAAACCAGGTAAATATTTATTTTTCTGTCTCCCCTGTGGATAAGTCCACAACTGAGTATCTAAAATTCTGAAGAGAATTCACTGTGTATTTCTGACTACTTACATTCATTCATATATGTTCACTGTACGTTCACAGCAAAACTATTAACATTTTATATATCTTTGTTTTTTTGAGATCACATAATATATGTAAGACTGCTTGCAGAATTTTGAAAGCTACTAGATTCAATAGAATCTAAAATCAGAGTGAAAATTCAGAGACAGAGACTATGGCATATTTCTGGGGTTGTAGCTAGTACTGTCATTGAAGGCTTAACAAAATGCCCAGGTTTTCTGAACTGATGCTGACTTAGCTGACCTGTCTGATGTGTTGGTAGTTGTTTAACATAATTGCTACCTGGATTTTAAACCATGGTTTTAAAAAGTCCATGCTTTTTAAAGCATTTTAAAGCATGGATGCGGTGGCTAAGACACTGATCTTGTCGATCAGAAGGTCGGAAGTTCAGCGGTTAGAATCCCTAGTGCCATGTAACGGAGTGAGCTACCTTTACTTGTCCCAGCTTCTGTCAACCAAGCAGTTCGAAAGCATGTAAAAATGCAAGTAGAAAAAGAGGGACCACTTTTGGTGGGAAGGTAACAGCATTCCATGTGCCTTCAGCATTTAGTCATGCTNGAGGGTAGAACAAGAAGCAATGGGTGGAAACTAATCAAGGAGAGAAGCAACTTAGAACTGAGGAGAAATTTCCTGACAGTTAGAACAATTGATCAATGGAATAGCTTGCCTTCAGAAGTTGTGAATACCCCAACACTGGAAGTCTTTAAGAAGATGTTGGATAGCTATTTGTCTGAAATGGTATAGGTTTCCTGTCTAGGCAGGGGTTGGACTAGAAGACCTCCAAGGTCCCTTCCAACTCTGCTATTGTATTATTGTAAGAAGAGTTGACATAGCTTAGTTTTAGTTGATTCAGACAGCACTAGGCAAAAGAAATGCAAAAACCCATGTCTTACCTTATTATAAATATAGTACTGTAGATAACAAGTTGCCGTTATATAATTTCATTGTAGAATTAAAGTATTAACATAAACCCTAGTGACTATTAAACCTGATTTATTGGCTATTTTACATGTTGTAATATGCCATCATTCAGTCCAAAAGTATGCCTTTACTTTTTTATGTTACACTGGTCCAATCCTAGTATGACATTTTCTCAATAAGACTGTGATGCTATTAAAAAAAATGAAGTATTACCTCTGCAATTTCTCAGAATTCATTTGCAGTCTATAGAATGTAGAATGCCCTTCAACATGGGAAATATTTTGTATGTTTAAGCCTCAGACTATGGTGAGATTTGTAGCGTGCGTTAATAAAAGACTAGAAATCCCGAAACAATAGAGACAATATTGTGATTTTATGATAAGGTATTTTTTATTTGACATTTAAGAAAGGCTAACTTGCCTTGATTCTTTCTAGATGTTCTCCAGGTTACTATGGAGATCCTACAGTACCAGGTGGAAAATGTCAGCAATGTCAGTGCAACCCAAATGGTTCTCTCCATCACCACTGTGATCATACTTCTGGACAGTGTGTTTGTAAGCAAGGTGTAATAGGACAGTTGTGTGATCAGTGTGATTCAAGGCACATTCTTGTGGAGAATGAATGTGTTTGTAAGTGTTTTATTTTTATTTTTTCCTTTTGCTTTTTAAGTTGAAGTGTGCCTGGAATGGGAACTGATAAATGCAGCTTAATATTATTCAATCTGCAAGATACTGCAACATGAAACATACTTGTTCAAAAAAATATCATTCTTAAAAAATGCTGTCTATATTTTAGATAGGACCAACTAAATAGATGAAGCTGCTGAATGTCTGTATGTACANGAAGGCCTGGAGGGTGGTGAGGGTGCGAATCTCCATGGGGAGTTCGTTCATATGTAGAAATGTATCTAGAATTTTTGCTCACAGTTGAAAAGAGGCATTGTTTGCTCTTTATTTTTTTGTGTGAAAATTGAAAAATCACCAACCATGTTTCTTCAGGTTATTTATCTTTTATAATATAAGTTGTATGACATCATCGTGTGACATACTAAAATATCTTATGTCCAAGAAAAATGTCCTTATTCTCTTTCAAATATTGATTGGCAACATATAAAACTGTGAATGAAACCCAATTTGAAGAGCTAATATTCTATCCAAGATTGTAAATGTTATATAGCATTCACATAGCATTCGCAAGTCCTTGCACTTGCGAATGACAGCTCGGCAGCAGCCAGGCGCGTCTTAGCCAATCAGACGCGCCTGTCAGTTGCCGAGCTGTCAAGCGCGAGTCAGCTGAGTATAAAAGGCAGAATATTTCCAACGGCTCCCCGATCTACTTCATAGCCACGGAAGCTACCGGTCTACTGTTCAGACATCCCTGTCTACTGTTCAGACATCCCTGTCTACCGCGCACAGCAACAAACCTGTCCGGTCTACTTCTTGTTATTGTTACAACGTTACATTCTTACATTAAAGTGGTTACAGTTACCTTCGAGCCTCTTTCCTCATTTGTGAAGTTATAATAGTAAACTATATCACTCTAGAATTATTTTAATAATAAATGTGTTTTAGAAGTTATATATGTAATGTACATACATGCATTTATACATACATTCATACATAAACTGTCACAGAACCAAAAGCGGGAATACAATGTCAGAATTGGTTTGCAAATTCTTGCACAACCATTACTGAAAGACTTGTTGCTGAGCAACATTGAAATAAAAAGTATAAGGTTTTCAGTGTATACATTTTATGACTTGAAGAGTGCAAAAATATTATCACAGTCATTGCATAAGCAATGGGTTTAAATCTATCAAATAATATTCTTCTGCTAGATACTATCCACCGCTCTTGGAGGTATCTACTATGCTTTGAAGAGATTTTCTTGCATCAGTCTTCCTCCTTAGAGCCTTGTCAGGATGCATCTGTCTCTGAAAATAACTTTCAACATCTTTCAAATGGAGAATAGTAATTTAGAATATGCTTAATGTTTGTTACTCTAGGTTATTAATTTTACTCCACTGGGCTTATAAAGCCGGTGAAGACTTAATTAGGGAAGTGTCATGACTAGTTCTTATGATCTTTATTAAATGCAAAAGCACTTCACATTTCATATACAATTAATTTTGCAGCTAAGGTGTTGAGGGCAATATTGATAATACTCATTCAGTGACCATTTACAATTACCACAGCGATAAAAAAGGAAGTTTATAACCAATGCTTGCATTTATGACCTTTGCAGATCTGTAAAGCAAAGGAAAGCTGAAGTAAAATCATAAAGACAATCACAGTGCTGACAAAGTTGCCAGTCCCAATTGTGGTCACTAAATGGGGAATACTGATACACAAAAAACACTAAAAGCAATTTCATTAAACTAGTACATATTATTAACAGTTTGTAATTAATTTATGTTTATTTTTTTCTTGTCTTTAACAGAATACTTGGAAATACTTTAATGCTGTTTCAGATGAATCTGTTTCACATTCTGACTTCATGTCAGTTCTGAGCCATATTGAATATATTCTTATCAAGGCTTCATATGGTCAAGGGTTGCAACAAAGCAGGTAAAGTGCTAAAACTTTTGTTTTTATTTATTTTATTTTATTATCAAATTCATATAGTCACCCATGTCACAAAACAAGTGAATAGGTGGTGCATAATGAAGTTAATAAACAAGAGTTCACAAATAACTGCTATTATTAAAAACATTTTAAAAATGCAGCTTAAAAAATAATGGTTAATAATAATGGAGCCATCTTATTAATTCACTGCATATTACTGCTCAGTATACATAAATATAACTATTATATCAAGTTATTTTGTGCTGTTTTTGATGGTTATGCTTCTAAAAATGTTTCTGAAAATCAACACATTTTTTTCTTAAGAAACTCTGAATTAAAGCGATTAAAGTTTATAGTGCAGATTCGGACAGTCCCAAGTGAATCAATACACAGTTTAGCAATTCTTCATAACTTATATGAAAAATTATTAGTGCATATTCAGAGAAACTTTAATGGGTACACCTAACATATTCAGGAAAATTATTATCACAAGGTTTGCTATGCAGATCAGCCTTGCTCTTCTGGTCCTTCTAAATATTTTGGGATGAAAACCTCCAGAAATGTCTAACCAAGAGGCCCATTCCTTTAAGCTTTATTAATTTTTATTACCTGCTAGTACCTCAGAATTCCAAATCTTGTGTTTTGACATTTATTTCTACATTTCAGTTTTGTAACCTATAACTCTGACTAAAATATTTGCAGAAGCCATTTCAATTGGTAGGAAATAATAAGAAATTTTTATCTCTTGTCTGATAAATGAAGATTGTCTCATTTTTACTTTGTTTTTATGGAACACCTTTAAGAATCTCAAATGTCTCCATGGAAATTGCAGTGAAAGCTGATCACATGCCCTGGGCCAAGGAACCAGCTCATCACATTGAAAAATGCCTGTGCCCTCGAGGTTATGCAGGACTATCCTGTCAGGTATGATATGACTTAGTGAAAAAATATTTTAGGGTAACATCTTATCATAACGTTAAATGCCTTATTTAAAAAGAAGTCTGTCATGTTAATAAAGCTCTTTTCTGTATAGGACTGTGCAGCAGGATACTATAGGGAGAGGCATGAAAACGCACACCTAAAAGTGTTGCCCTCAGTAGTTTCACTGTGTGTGCCCTGCCAGTGCAACAATCACAGCAGTGCTTGTGATCCAGAAACAGGGAAATGTTCGGTATGTAAACTCCTACGAATAAATTCTTTTTGTATCAATATTTGGGAGCTGGCCAATTTGCTTTAAGAAGGGCAGTTATATAAATGTTTAAAATAAATAAAATAATTCAAGATAAAAAAGATCTGGAAAATGAGATGGTCACAATTAGAAATGCAAACCTTCCAAGAACAACTTTTAGTAAAAACGGTATATATCTAATAATATTCATGCTGTAAACTTTGCAATATTAGCATGGGCTAGAGATAGTCCTCAACTTACAACAGTTTGTTTAGTGACCGTTCGAAGTTACAATGGCACTGAAAAAAGTGAACTAAAACTGTTTTCACACTTATGATGACTGCAGTTATCTCCATGATCACACAATCAAAATTCAGATTCTTGGCAACTGGTTCATTTTTATAATGCTTACAGTGTCCCAGGATCATGTGATCAACTTTTGCAACCTTCTGACAAGCAAAGTGGGGAAGCCAGAATCAGTTAATAACTTTGTCACTAACTTAACAACTGCAGTGATTCACAACTGTGATAGGAAAGGTCACAAAATTCATATAACAAATGTCTCACTTAGCAACATAAATTTTGAGTTCAGTTGTGATCATAAGTCAAGGACTACCTGTAATTCTTTTGCAAGATTACTTTTAGTCATCTTACCTTAGTCACAAAAGTATTTACAAAGCTAATACAAACAAACAATACAGACTATGTCTAAGAGGTTATTCTTTGAAAGAAACCAGTACAAGGAGCAAGGGATTGAAAGAATAAATTAAACCGAGGCACACAATGGTTCAAAATGCTCTGAATTCAAAATAACTATTTGTATGACGTGTGCTGCAATAGTTTAGGTTAGCATAGTGGCATTAAGCACTTAAATTTTACAATTTTAATTGAAACATTATCAAAAATGAATCACTGATGGAGATGACTCAGATGGCTTGAAGAAATTAGGGCAATATTAAAATATGAAATAGAACTAATTACTTTCACTTCAAGGATTAACCATATTGAAATGGCAAGAATTTTCTACAGTTTTACTCCTTTGGTTTTCTACAAATATCAATCTTTTTTTATAATTAAAGGAATAAATATATTATCTGTCATGTCTATCTCTTGACATTTTAGGTAGTTAGTGAGAGCACTGTATTTATGAAGTGGAAAGCTTTTTATTATAATTATTTTAATTTTAAAATTCATGAATTATTGCTTCCTAGGACTGCAAAGATAATACTGTTGGTGATCATTGCAATATTTGTGCCCCTGGTTATTACGGCAAAATTAAAGGATCCATCAATGATTGTTCACCATGTGCATGTCCAAGAATGAGTCCTGAAAGGTAGCTAAGTATTAACCTGGCTGTCTTAATAATTATTATACTTAATATAGTATTAGATCAACAAGAGCTGGTGTTTCAATACAATAGCTATATTTCTAAGTGATTCTACTTTCTTTTTAAAATCCTCGACTAAAATGGGATTTGTAATTCATCTTAGACAGATAATTCAATAAACATTATAATAGCCTAGTGGTTGATCTTGTGGTTACATCATATCAGCCTTTTACAATGACTAAACATAACAGTTCAACACTTTTGGAAAAGTATTATGCTACACTAAGACTGCAACAAGGAACAGAATTGTATTTATGTACAGGGCGGGGCATAACCTTTTCCTAGGGGGTCACAGCAACACTTGTAATAACAACACAAATAATTCATACACCATTCGAAAGCCCATCAAAAACTGAGTTTATTCGATTTAATAGTCAGTATGACCACCATTAGCCCTTCGAACAGCATTCAAACGAGGTGGATAAGAACACAACAAATCTTCAAACAGTTCCGTTCGATTTTCCAGATTTTTCAACACAGTTTCCAAATTCATTCTCAAAGTTTCAACCGAATATCGATTTTGACCTTGCTCCTGAATCATCAGAGCTTCCACTTCATCCTTAATTATGGCCCCAATGTTCTCTGCCGGATTGAGATCTGGCGAATTTCCCGGCCAGACGTCATTGCCCCAAAATTCGACATTGTTTTCCTTTAACAATTGCTGAGTCGCATTTGCACGCATGCAAGGAGCTTTGTCATGAAGAAAGACAGCCTCACCAACCACCAAGACATTGTCTGGATCACTGAGAAATGGAATGACATTCTCCAATAAAATTTTCTCATGGAAATAACTGCCATCCCAGGATTCCCCTTTATCCTTCAAAACCCAATGCAGTTTCTTGGCTGTGAAAATGACGAAAATCCCGATGCAAGTCGGATTGCAAACGATTTGTCGATATCGTTCATGTTTGGCGATGTCGTCGACGTCTTTAGCCCAAATTCGATCGTTCTGGAAATTCGGTTTTCGAATGGCATAAACGAAGAATTCGTCAGATGGCGCCAAATGAAGAAAATCTTCCTCGGTCCATTCAGACAACCAATCGCACAACCAAAGCCGATCTTGAACGTGTGTTTGAGTTTTCAATGGTTTGCAAATGACGTGGAATGGCTTCAAACCTTCTCGTTCTCGATATCGGCCGATTGTCCTTTGATCAACTCGTTTTCCACGAATTTGAAGGATTTCTTGGGCCACTTTTCGGTTTCCTTTTCGTTGTTTGCGACTGCCAGTTGCAATGATGGCTTTGCTTTCTTGGGACAGTTGCAGAGGACGCCCTTCTCCAAATTTTGTGAAACATTCTTGGGCTGTTTTGTTCCAATTATCAGTAACCCAATCCGGATGACATTTCAATTTGTTTGCAATCCATTTTCGATTGATAAACGTCGCTCCAGCATCGCGAGCCTCTCGAAAGGCAATGCATTTTATTCTGTCAATGATCCTTTGTTCTTCCGAATCGAATTTTCCAGCCATTCTTAAAGCAAATTTAACATTTAATAGCTCATTCAATTCAGTTTTTTATGGGCTTTAAAATGAGGTGTCGCGGAAGTTGTAAACTGCTGTCGATCTTGCTGTGACCCCCTAGGAAAAGGTTATGCCCCGCCCTGTATTAATGTAGCTAATTAACAATCTTGTTTACTTATGAAAAAACCTTATTGAAATCAGTGAGACTTTCTGAATCCATATGCATAATGTTGAATACTTAGTAGAATTGAATGGTACTGGAACTGTAGGCTTTTTTAGGCATCAAAAGAAACATGACTTAATGTTCCAACATACCTAATTATGGCTATACAAGATGTTGGAGTGATAATGGGGAGAGTCAGGCTCCAGTTCACCCACTTCTGTTGGAGCTCATTGGATTGAAAAAATTGAGGAGAGCAAGGGCTGTTTATTTCCTTAAACCCTTGAATGAAACAATGTTGTTGTTAGTTGCAAAGTTATGTCTGACCCATCGCGACCTCATGGACAACATTTCCCCAGGCCTTTCTGTCCTCTACCATCCCCTGGACTCACAGGAGTCTTCTCCAGCACTTCTCAAAGGCCTCAGTTCTTTGGTGCTCAGCCTTTCTTATGGTGAATGAAACAGTACAAATCTAATAAATAAAATTATATACCAGCTTGGATAAATATGTTTTCTTAAATATTATTATTATTACTATACAATTGTAATAGTAATTATTATTGTTGTTGTTGTTGTTGTTGTCATCGTCGTCATTATCATCATCATCATTATTTTGTTCTTCAAGCTTTAGTCCAACATGTGTTGCAAAAGATATAAAGGATTTCCATTGCAATAATTGTGTCACTGGATATGAAGGGCAGTATTGTGAAAGGTAAGGTATTCAGCTCATTACAACTTTTGCAACAAATGTACTTACATTAAGAGTGCAGAGAAGAGCAACAAAGATGATTAGGGGACTGGAGACTAAAATATATGAAGAATGGTTGCAGGAACTGGGTATTTTTAATTTAATGAAAAGAAGGACTAGGGGATACATGATAGCAGTGTTCCAATATCTCATGGGTTGCCACAAAGAAGAGGGAGTCAAACTATTC